CAAATTATGCCCCCCCACACCAAAACATGTGAGTCGTAATATACTAAATAGAACTTCTCTTGCTGTGGTTGGATAAGCAGAACTGCTCATCAGAGTAGATGTTTGGAATTCCTTCCCAAAGTCACTTGGAACTTTATCTCAAAAGATCAACTGATGAACTTCTGAGACTGGTTATTTTTCAGGCCACAAGGCATCTAATGTAAAAGGATAAGAAGGGAAGCAGACAGAGAAGGCTATGTGCTCCCAAACAGAAGGCCTCAGTGGTGAGTCAGAAGGCAAGGAGTTTGGCAGGCCAAGCAACTTCAGAGCAGTACAATTTGATCTGATGAAATCCATTCAAACTCACTAAAATAGACTGTCCAGACACTGCTTTTGCCTCTCTGACTCTGTCTTCACTAGAACAAGTGGGCATCCTTTTGCTCAACCAACCTTTCCCTGAATTCAGAATAAAATAGACAGTGAGAAATCATAGAAAAAAAAGGTGGAGGCCTTTGGTACCGCCATCTTGGGCTATTGATTTTCCACTAAAACACATTTCCTACATTTCCTGGAAAGGCTTTAGAGTGAGTTCATTTGTATAACTACATTTTCCAAAGGGAAGGGGTCATAAAAGTATAAAGAAATTATTTTAAGAAACTAAAATGCATAAACAATGGCTGAAAATAGATATATATCCAATGATAAAGGAGACTATAATGGTCTCAGGAAACCTTAAATCAAAGCAAAAATATTACCTTATAGGAATTCTGAGATAATTATGATGCCTATAAAAATGAGCTAATGTTGGTAAAGTTCTTTGAGAAGAAAAAGGGCAATATGTTACCATATTTATGTCATAGTTGATTTCAATGCCAGTAGAACCACCTGCAGTGACTGATTCTGCATGCCCATGTCCTCGTCTTTCACAAAACAAGCAGCACTATTCGCCATTAGCCACAGATAAATTCACGAGGAGTTCAGTTCCTCCACTTCCAGCTCTCACACGGAAGAGCAGTATGGAGGAGTAATGAGGGAAGGAGGTAAGAAAGAATAAGAGCGGATATGGAAAAGAGAATCAATGGATAGTTGCATAAGGTAGTTTAGGCTAGTAGAATTAAAAAGGTGGGTGAGCACTAGAAAGGTAGAAAAACTCCAGGGTGAGAGCAAGAGAGTAGACAGATGAGTGAGGGAGAAAATGAGGGTGAGCAGAAGGCAGGAGGCTACAACAAAGGTTACCCGAGGCTTCCTAGGATTTTTGTAACGTAACATGCCACAGCCTTCCTCCCACCTTTCTACTGCAGGCAGGTTCTGTAAAACATGCCCTTTAGGCATCTACCGTATGTTACATAAAGTAGAAGCAAGCAAGAACAAAATAAATTATATTGGTCCTTACTGATTATATTTTCCTACTTGAATGTGGGGAAATACCATCTTTCACTCTGCACACAGATGCTCATCCCCAGAATTGAATATTAAGATTACTGTGAGTCTGGCCTATTTGTGACAGCACAAAGGACAGCTTTATTACAGTGTGCTGCAATACTTGCAGTGAATAAAGAATCCCATCTTACAAGGGGCATTTGGATGGGAGAAGAAGAGATTGCAGTCCACTCTCCGACCTGTAGGGACTAATTACAGACATGCACATTCTTGCCTGGGAGAATTTCTCATAAATTCCCTGTCTGAATAAGCTTTCAGCTCTTCTCTGCTTGTCTAAGTTCCGACCTTCCTCCAAGATTTGCCTTGAATCCTACATCCTCCATTCAACCTTTTCCTTGATTGGTTCTCATATTTTAGGTGAAGTGAGCATCAGAACCACCTGTGTGTTAAGGGGAAGTGGTTAAGGAAGGAGTGGGAGTTGTTAAAAATGCTATTTCCTGGAATCAACAGCCAGAGAATTTGATGTAGCAAGTCAAGTATTTGGCCCTGCTCACTGCATCCTCCAGCTCCCAGCTCAAGCAATTCTCCTGCCTCAGTCTCCCAAGTAGCTGTGATTACAGGCCCAGGCCACCACGCCCAGCTAATTTTTGTATTTTTAGTAGAGACGGGGTATTGCCATGTTGGACAGGCTGGTCTTGAACTCCTGACCTCAAGTGATCCACCTGCCTCGGGCTCCCAAAGTGCTGGGATTACAGGCATGAGTCACCACACCCGTATGTCTGTAGTTTTAACAAGCTCCCCAGGTGCCTCTGAGACAAAGGATTCCAACCACATTGAAAAACCCATCTTACAACACTTTACAATCTTACATCATTCTCTACCACGTGGCTTACACTATCATGTTTGTCCTGCCTTCCCAATGAGATCATAGGTGCCAAGACATGAGTGCTGCATACAAATAAAGCCTGACAGCCAAGCTGTATCAATTTCTTTTTCTGGTTTTTACTTTTTAAATCTTCCTGGCATATAATATTAAGTCACACTGTACAACTACTTAAAGTTTCAAAATTGACATGACATCAGAATTTCATCAAGGCCTAAATGGGGCTGAACTCAGCAGACAAACCCTTAGAAATTTGATAAAAGGGAGAACATGTCTGCAGATTTGCAAAATCCAAGAGGTCTGTATCCTGCCCAAGTTTACAGGATGCGATGATTAATTTTTTTTT